CCTGAAGGATATGTCTTCACTGATTTTAGAGAGGGAAGAAGGGAGAGAGAGAGAAAAACAAACATCGATGTGAGAGAGAAACCTATTGCTTGCCTCCCATATGCGCACAACCGGGAATCAAATCCACAACCTAGGTATGTGCCCTGACTGGAATCAAACCTTTTGGTGTAGGGACAATGCTTCAAGCAGCTGAGCTACCCAGCCACAATTTACCTGATTTTAATTTAAATTATGTGTGGTTTATACATAAGTAAATATTTAACCATCAGGAAATAATTTAAATATATATTGTGGTGTATGCTTTATTATATTTTTTCAAATGGAATTTACCCAACTCCATTTCTTCAATAACTTATTCTATTACTACTGGTTTTTGAAGCTTCCTTTATATTTCACTAAATGTTTATGTAGACCTCTCCCTGTATTTTTAATTCTGTCCCAGGGTTGTATTTGTTTTCCAAACGGTACTAAATTATTGTATTTCTATTGGGAGTGAATTCTTATGTATGTAGTCTCTGAGAATAGATGGTTCCCTGCTAAGTTAAAATGAATTTTCACTTCAAATCTGAGCTTAATTGTTCTAAAATTCCAAGGCAAAATTAGTGAATTATTTGTTTAGACCAAGTCATACTCTCCAGGTTAAATAGAATATTTCAGGAAAAGCAAATAAAATGTAAGTCAATTAGCAAGAACATATTCAATATCTATGAAAAGCAAAAAAATCTATTAAACAATTAGCTAAAAATAACCCCTTCTTCTCATGAGACCATATTAATACGTACAAACATAATCCAGTTGAAGTATAAAAATATAACAAATTATTGATGAGTACAAGATATTAAGTGGTAAACACCAAATAAATGTAGCTAAGTAAATTGAACTTAATTAAATCTTATTTCAGTGATGAATCTCACAGATATAATATTGAGTGAAAGAAGCAGATACAAAATAGATAGATAGATAGATAGATATCAAGATGAAGAACAGAGAAAAGTATTTATGCTAATAGAAGTCAGAAGAATGGTTACTATAGAAGAGGACATTGATGAGGATGAAGTGTTAGGAACTCTCCTGGGATGGTGGTAATATTTTATCAGTTGATCTTGGAAGGTGTTACAGGAGTGTATACAGATGTCAAATTTCATTGAGCTGTACTCTAAAGTTCTGTGAACTAAATGTATATCATCTAAAAATAATTTTGAAATTCTAAATTCAGAAAGTCAAGATCTTACAAGAGAATTCTGCCTCTTCAGACCGTAATGTCATTCTACCATAACTCTACTCTCCCTACCTTCCTCTTGACTGGAGTCCCTGGACTTGAATGGGCCCATGCCTGGATCTCCATCCCCTTCTGCTGCCTCTATTTAACTGCTCTCTCTGGGAATACCTTGATCCTATTTGTAGTCCTCACTGAGCCAAGCCTCCATGAGCCAATGTACTATTTCCTCTCCATGTTGTCCACCACTGACATTGGCTTATGCATCTCTACACTAGTAACAGTACTGGCAATATTCTGGGTCAATGCACGGGAAATCAGCTTGAATGCTTGCTTATCACAGATGTTCTTCATTCACCTCTTCACTTTCATGGAATCCTCAGTGCTCCTGGCTATGGCCTTTGATCGTTTTGTGGCCATTTCTAACCCCTTGAGATATGCTACCATTCTAACTCATGCAAGGATTGCACAAATTGGCATGGCAGTCATTACCAGGGGGACTGTCATTCTGACACCACTAGTCTTACTTCTTAAGCGTCTATCATTCTGCCACAGCCACGTGCTCCATCACTCCTACTGCTTCCACCCTGATGTGATGAAGCTCTCGTGTTCAGATACAAAAATCAATAGTGCATTTGGACTATTTGCAATTATCTCTACTGCTGGAGTGGACTCTATCTTTATTCTGCTTTCCTATGTCTTGATCATTCGCTCAGTTCTCAACATTGCATCCCCAGAGGAGAGGAAAAAGGCCTTCAGCACCTGCATTTCTCATATCACTGCTGTGGCCATATTCTACATCCCTTTGATCAGCGTATCTTTTGTTCACAGATTTGGAAAACATGCTCCACCCTTTGTGCCCACACTCATTGCTAATGTATACTTGCTTATTCCCCCTGTGATGAATCTCATCATCTATAGTGTGAAAACAAAGCAGATTCAAAAAGTTATGCTCAAACTTCTCTGTTCCAAGAGAACTCATATTTAACAGTCATTGCTCCCTTAAAATCCCATCTCAAAGTCAATGAAAATTTATCACAAATTGGAGTTATAAACCTATGCAATTTTAGAGTTGTATGGAACTAGAAATTATCCAAATTAAACATATCTACAATGTGGTTAATCCTAGTTAAAGTAATCATTTTCTAGACCAAAATACTAATTTAGATTCTCACTACCTCTCAGTTGCCCTATTCCCATAAATGACTAACTGACCTCCCATCTCTATGCTGTTTCTGCCAAAAACTGCCTGTCATTCATTTTGAATTAACTTTCCAAATATCCAGCTCAAATAAAATTTAAAAACAAACCAATAAGCATCTCTTCCATGTTTATTTCTCATCCTACAACTAAATAAAGCATTAACTCTTGTTTGTGATAAAGTCCTCCACAATTTAAGTTCAACTTTCCTTTAAAGTTTGATCTACCTCTTTCTTTTTTCACCTACTCTGCAGTCTAAGAAAACCAGTCTGCTAACTGCTCCATCATGCAGCTTTCCTAATAGTGGGCTTTACTCTTGACCTCAACCTTGACACCCACTCCTTCACCTTGAAATACTACACGTGCCAAGGCTCATCTTTAAATATCTTCTCCATTAAATTTTCATGACTGCTTCAATTATATCTGTTCTTTCCTTCTCATAATTTGCCTGCTATGGTGATTTCTCTATATCTATTTCTTTTTCCTTTATGTGTTTTTGACCATATGTTGTATATACATACTAGTAGTAGTTCTGGTATTACTTCCATAAAGCAGTAAATTCCCAAAATTAAAAAATGTCTGTGTTTTCTCTGATGCTGCTACAATACCTAAAAGTTTATCTTCCACATAGCAGATAGTCAATGATAGTTGTTCAATTGAATGGAACATAAGAAACTATCAAATAGTCAGCCATCTGAATAATTTCAGTGATAAGTCATTCAATTCAATGTTTGGCATGTGTAACATAAGAAATTTTTCTTATAACTGATTTCAGCTTTTCTGTCTATATTATCTAGCAATTGATCATAGCTCTGACTTTCCAAACCATATAGGCAAAGGCCAATTTTGGGGCCTGAGATCTCAATCTCAGGAACTTACCCCTGCTTGCATAAAGCCCAATTTGACTAAGAATAATTCAACTCATTCTATTCATGAATAAATGTTTTTCAGAACTATTAAGTAATTTTTAAATTTTTTTCAGGTGCCAAAGATAAAAACTAATGCTTACTCACCCTTTGCTCCTGCACCCAATAAATCTGTATTTTCTTTCTATTATAACAACAAAATATCTCTTCCTGTCCATTCTTAGACCTAGTCTAGGACACTAAAATCTTTCAACTAAATCAGTTTTCTTATAGGTTTCTTGGTCTCCAATCTTGTCCCTTTTCCTCCTATTTTTTCATAAAAACAATCAGGAAAAAAAAGGGAGGAATATAACTTGAAAAAACATAATGTCATTAAAATTTTTATTATAGATATGCCCTCTTTCAAGAAAACTCAATAAAGGACACATACATTGAAAAATTTAAATTATAAAAACTTACTAATCTACTAATCTACTCTTTAAGAATGCCCAATGAAATATCCTAATATTATGGAAATGTTAGTAACATTTTGAAAGCATGAATGACAATGGCTAAAATGAACACTTTGCCCATTAGGCCAAGCTTCCAAATATATACTTCCAAGAACTGGTATCTCTCTGTCCTGATTTGTTTTCTTAAAGTATACATAATAAAGAATTAAGTTTTGTTTAATCTTAGAATAAATTAGATCTTGTTATCTAGGATTCTTACATACTAGAGGCCCAATACATGAAATCCGTGCACTAGTAGGGTCCCTAGCGGCTGCCGGCTGCCAGCTGGGTACTCCCGCCCTTCTCCCAGTCGCCTGCCACCACCACCAGCCAGGGCCTCCCTCCCTTCCCCTGGCTGGCCCTGCCCCTGGTTAAACTCCTGGACAAACTCCCGGTAGAGGGGACAAGTTGCATACTACACTCATTATATAGGATAATTTAATTACCACTGATTCATTCTTTCATTTATTGAGTTCTACTTTTGCCGGACATTGCACAATATGGTAGTGTGGCAGAGACAAATAAGATATTGTCATGATTAGTGAAATAAAATATGTAGATAAGAAAGTAAGCAATCGAAATCTGAAGTATTTGTGTGATATATTACAATATCTATACTAATAATAGACAAATATGTAAATTGACCATCCCTCTGATACACCCACAGCCAATTGGAGTGAGTATGCAAATTAACCCGGCAGGCCTGTGGGCAGCACTCACACATGCAGGCGCCAAGTGGCTAGGGGTGGGGCAAGATGGAGAGTAGAGCAGGGAGCAGGCGAAGAGCAGGCGGCTTGGGGGTCTTGGCAGACTGGCTGGGGTCCCAAGGACACCACTGGAATGTCCGGTCCTGTCAGCCCAGCCTGGGGGCAGCTAAAGTTCCTGTTCCTTTTGGTTTCTGCAGCCCCTGGATTGGAAGCAGAAACCAAGAGTGCGGGGAGCACCAGGAATGCTGGGAATCGTAGTTCTGGTGGCAGATGCGTTTCGGGATCTCCTAGACCAGAGGTTCTCAACCTGTGGGTCGCGACCCCTTAAAGGGTCAAATGACCCTTTCACAGAGGTCTCCTAAAACCATCGGAAAACACATATATAATTACATATTGTTTTTGTGATTTATCACTATGCTTTAATTATGTTCAATTTGTAACAATGAAATTGTGGGTCGCCACAACATGAGGAACTGTATTAAAGGGTCGCGGCACTAGGAAAGTTCAGAACCACTGTCCTAGACATTAGAGCAAAGTGAGCCTAGAGCAAGTTACTGTTGTGGGTGGGGGATGGAGGGAAAGCAAAGGTTAGAGACATAAGTAAAGTCAGAGTGTCGAGGAAAAATTAAAGTAAGATATCCAGCAACTTCTAGGAATCTCCAATGGAGCAAAGAAAAAAAAAAAAACCTCTATTATTCTGTGAGCACCAAACCAAACTGAGTTGGGGGTCTCAGATAATTCGCTCGCAAATCATATGATTGCAAAGACAGAGAGAAACTCCCAGATTGGAGTGGTCTCCCTGGAGGGCTCCCAGATTGGAGAGGGTGCAGGTCGGCCTGAGGGACTCACCCCCCATGAACAAATTTCGTGCACTGGGACCCTAGTATACAATATAAGCAGAAGGAGTAATAAGAATATATAAGAAGAATGTATAATCCAACCTGGAATGATCAGGAAACAATTGCAATGTGTTGTTTGAACTACAAAATCAAGAAGTGAAGAGATCAATTTCAAAATGGCAGCAAGAGGAGATCTGTGAACATGCTCCCCAGGGAAAGTACTATAATAGCAAAAATCATATATAGATACAGGTATACACATTTAAATCCTCTGGAAATTGCCCTAAAGTCATATAGCAAATGAAAAACCATTTATTTTAAGAAAATCTGTTAAATCACTGTAAGAACAGTCATTGTTCACTTGAATTGCAGCCAGCTTTCATCCTCACTCCCTCTCCCCCCCCCCCACCCCTCAGCACATTGATAGCTCCACTCCTAGTAGGTGTAGTCAAGGACACAGTACTTCCTTCCCCAATTCCTTACCCCAGCTCCATTCCCACCAGCTCCTCAGTGTTAGACTATAGTATCTCCCAGGAAGGTCAGACTATAGTATTTCTCATTCCCCATACCCCAGCTCTAATTGTGGAAGTTAAATTCAGGTGAGTGCAGTCAAGAAGTCAGTGGCTTCATCCAGCCAGCCCTACTCATATGGCAGAGATTCAATTCCAGGCATGACAGTCAGAGAATACTGGGGACCCCAATCACCATTCTCCCAGCTGCTATCATAAGGCAGAGCTGCAAGCTGAAAAGTTGAAAAGACTGTATGCTCTCCTGTCTAGTGCCATGCATAAAAGAAAGGGTTTAGCTCCAAGAGAAGTAAGCCATGATGAAATTAAATTATAAATTAGTAACAAAAATTTGGAAATTTGAAAATTAAACAATATATTCATAATCAATAGTCCAAAAAAGAAATCACAAAGGAAATCAGAAAAATTTTTGAGATGAATGAAAGTGTGAGGTAAAATGAAAGAGTGCTTATAGGAAAATTTATAGCCTTAAATGCCTATATTGAATAAAGAAATATCTAAAATTAATTACCTAATCCTCCACTTTAATATTCTGAGGGGAGGGGAAAAACTAAAGTCAAGAAAAAGAAAAAAATAATAATGATTGCATAGGTGGAAATTAATGAAATAGAGAATTGTAAAAAAAAAACCAATAAATATGATGAACAAAACCAAAAGTTTGTTTCTTTGGATAAATTGACAGTTGGTTCCAAAATACATATTGAATTTAAAGACACCTAGTGCTGGCACTGACCAGAAGACCCTGAGTGACGGATGAATAATTACTCTGACACATGTTTCTGTGAAAGAGAGGCCTAAGGGACTGCCTGGCTAAAGAAACCAGATAGCCCTATTCGCCTGCCTCGCCTCCTTAGGCTTTTATTGTAGCAACAGCTTGAACTAAAATTGACCTCTAGATACTATCATCAGGGTAAAGTATCCTTGAGAAAACATATGCATCTGTAGTGTTCTTTAAACAAGGGCATGTCTAAAAACTAAACATAGAAATAAACACCTGGGGATCAGACTTGTTTGGAAAAGTCAAGGCCCTCAACCTTTCGAAGAATCCTTCGTGCAGACTTTCCAAGCAAGGCCCATGCTTCCCCACAACCTAGAATAGCCAAAATCATCTTGGGGTGGGGAGGGGAGTGCAAAGTTGGAGGATTCACATTTAACAATTTCAAATTTTACTACAAAGCTACAGTCATCCAGACAGTGTGGTTCTGCATAAGATAGATATAGAGACCAATGGAATAGAATTGAGAATACAAAAATAAACTTTCACATTTCTTGTTGAGTTTTTTAAAAATATTTTTTTATTTATTTCAGACAGGAATCATGAATCTGTTTGATTCCCAGTCAGGACACATGCCATGGTTGCAGGCTCAATCCTCAGTAGGGGCGGTGCAGGAGGCAGCCTATCAGTCATCTCTCTGATCATTGACATTTCTATCTCTCTCCCTCTCCCTTCTCTCTGAAATCAATAAAAATATTTTTTAAATAATCTAAAATTTGCTGTAGCAATAGTTGCACAACTCTGTAAATAATAAAAATATTAAACTTTTACATATTGAATGGGTAAATTGTACTGTCTGTGAATTAAATTATAATAAAACTGTCACATTGAAAATAAATAAAAATGACTGCACATCACATAAGGAAGGTGGGGAGAGCACATATGCAGAAATTACTCTTACCTTTAAAAAAAGAAGAAAATATGTTTGAGAAAAAGATAAATTAGTAGTAACACCAGAATATAAATAAAAATATAATCAGCAATCTATAAATTTGGGGAATCTGTGAAATGTAGAACAAAGATAAAATAACATTGATAGATGAAACTGTAGCCCAAAATAAGTACAGGAGAATATTGAAGGGGAAGAGGAGGCTACTCGAAGACATGCTCTAAATTCTGAGTGTTGGATTAGAGAATTCTAGTGAAATTTCAAGTCATTTTACTTCTCTTCCTCAAACCCTACCTTAGCTCTATTTGTGCCATATTTTAGGTCACAGAGAAACATGCCTATCTGAAAGAAAAAAAAATAGTGATAGAGAATTTTGAACTTAAATTTATTTCTGTAGCCCCCAGCCTTCTTACTTAAAATTAAAGAGACCTTTAGGGATGCTTTAATCCAACCATAAGACTCAACATTTTAACTCCTGTAAGTGGCATTTTACTCATCTATTTAATGACCAGAAATAGGAAATTAAAATCCCATCTAGTTCTTTGCTGCACTGGGATGGAGAACTTTCAGCACAGCCCTGCGTATCTGTTTGGTCTTCACACTGTAGATAATGGGGTTCATCACAGGGGGGATCAGCAGATAGGCATTGGCAATCATAGTATGTACATATGGTGGAGCCTGTTTCCCAAATCTGTGAACAAAGGACAAACTGATCAATGGGATATAGAATACAGCAACAGCCCCAATATGGGAGATGCATGTGTTGAAGGTTTTCTTCCTATCTTTTGAGGATGCAATGCTGAGGACAGTCTTAATGATCAAAACATAAGAAAGGATGATAAAGACCGAGTCTACTCCAGCAGTGGTGATCAGGGCAGTCAATCCAACTGCACTATTAATCCTGGTGTCTGTGCATGAGAGCTTCATCACATGATAATATAGATACTGCATAGAATTATTGTGAGGATTAAATTAGTTAATGTTTGAGAAAAACTTGGCTATGTAACTGTAATGTAAAAAATCACCAAATATTAGGTATTGTCACTTTTAAAAATTAAAGTTAACATTATACAATAATTTTTTTCACTTCATTTTCCACTTTTATTTACATGTCCCTTATACTTATCCACATGCCTTATCATCTGATAGCAGAGAGAAAATATAGATATATTATCTGTCTGATTTAGACAGTGTCCCCTGATTAATATTTTCTTTATGTGGTCCCTTCTTACTCCACATCTATGACTTTCTCAACCTTTCTTAATTCCTTCCTTAATGAGAGTAACTCTATGCTCCTTTTCAAAGACAACACTACCACCCAGGTTCTCAAACACTTTTGGAATTTTAGTTTAACATTAAATTATTGAGTACATGTTATGATCCATAAACTAGGGATACAGAAGCAAATTAGACATGGCACCTGCCCTCAAGGATATTAGTAGATTGTGAAGAAAATGAATGTGTAAACAGACAAGTAAAATGCAGTATGATATACACACTAAAGGGTTTGTGTTTAAAATACAGAGATTGTATATATGAAAAATTTGTGTGGTGAAAGGTCAAGAAAAGCTTTCTTGAGGACATGAAGACAACTTGTGCAGGAGATGATAGGTAAAAATCACCATGAAGAAATTCTAAGCATGTCCAAGGTAAGTGGATTTCAGTATTCTAGAATGCCACTATAGCGTGAGATACAGTGTGTTAAAAGGTTGTGTTTGAAGGTAACAGGGATCCAATATGGAATTATCTTTAGGATAGTAAGGAACGTGGAAATTATTTAAACACTGAAAAAAGAATGAATATAAGATCTCTTTTTGCTCCAGGAAGTAACTCCAACATTTTTTATTTTTTCTTTGATTTATATTCCTTTTCATTTGTAACATTAGCATAGTTTGTAAATATGCCAACTTCATTTTCAAGCTAAACACAACGTAAAACAAAAAAAAACATAAACACACAATAAAAAACAACAACAATCCTCTCTTATTAACCCTGCTTTCCTGTAGCATGAATATCCTTCATTTAACCAACAATTTATTGAACATTTGTTTATCCTCATTTCCCTAATGGTTCACACCTATAGTTGAAATCTGGCTTCTTTTTAGACTGAAACATACTCTTTCTCATTAGTTCTCTGTTGCTGCATAAAAACTAGCACAAATGCATGACTTAAAATAAGACACCTCCCTTATCTCACATTTCAGTAAGTCAGACAACGGACACAACATGAATAGGATCTCTGCTCAGGATCTCACATTGAGCTCCTTGTGGTGTAGGACTGAGGTCTCCGTTTTCTTGCTGCTGTGGGTGGAGGCAGCTCTTAGCTCCCAGCCATGTAGATCTGTCACAACATGATATTTGCATCTTCTACTCCAGTAGAGGAATCTCTCTGCTGTTTCTTGTCTCTTTTAAAGGCTCAAATGATTAGGTCAGTCTAATCCAGCATAATTTCCTTTTGATTAACTCAAAGTCAAATAATTAGGGACCTTATTTACATCTGTAAACTCCCTTTGCTATACAATATAACATAATCACAGACGTGATACCCCATCACATTCATAGGTTCACTCACACTCAAGTTGTGGGTTTTATACTGGACAAGGACTTAGGGGGCAAGAACCTTGAGGGCCCTTTTAGAATTGTGCCTACACAACTGTCTAGGGGTCACTCAATCTCCAAACTACTATAGATTCAGATCTTACATAGCCTTTGATTGACCATCCTTATCCTCCAGTTCCATCACCTCCATTTTATATAAAACTCTCATTAGTTTTTGCCGGAACTACAGCAATATTCTCTTAAGCAATTTCTCTGTCCTGAGTTGCAAGTGTTTCCAAATTTTCCATATGGACATGAGCATCTCAAAAGCACATCTTCTCATCCCTCCTTATACAGAGCTCTTCACTGCCTTCAGCAAAAAATTAAAATTCTTTATCTCTTTACAACAGCTGCCAAGGATCTTCCCAATCTCCCCAAAACCTACTATTACTGCTACCTAACCTCTTCCCAAATACATGTAGTCAACCTAGGATTTTCCTACTTCATCAAACTACCAAATGTAGCAAGTTCTTTCACAATGCTGTCATTGCTTATATTCACGTATTTCCCACTCTTCTTTGAATGAGCCTAAGTTCTAAAGTCTGAAGACTCATTATTTTCTCCTTTGGTCCATTTATCGATTCAACATTAATTTGTTTACATCTGGAAGCATTTGTGGCATCACCTTCTCAATGTCAAGTCAGAAGGAAATGCTCCTTCCACTGGAGTCACATTCTTTTTTGTTAATTCATATGGAATAGAAGTTGTTCCATTGTATGATCATAGTTTTTTAAAAATATGCCTCTTCCACTAACATAAAGTACTGGCAGATAAATAATTGCTTATTTATCATTTAGTCGCAGTACCTTTGCACTGTATTGCGCAGTGTGAGAAGATAATAGATACTTTTTGATACAATTTAAAACCAAGACTCATTATTTGCTCCATTGGATCATTTATCAAGTCAACATTAATCTGAACTGAAAAACTCTAGAAATATATCAGGATCTCAACACATTTCAGATGATCATTTAATTCATGTCATGAAGCCTAAAATTACACATGTGACTATTGGAAGAATCTCACTAAACTCTCTTTTATTCTCACAAAATGAGTACTGTGTGTGTTGGTTTGGTTTTTCTTGTTGTTGTTTTTTAATACATTTTTAATTTATTTCAGAAAGAAGGAAGAGGGAGAGAGAAAAAAACATCAATGAGAGAATTATCATTGATTGGCTGCCTTCTGCACACCCCCTACTGGGGATCAAGCTGGCAACCTGGGCATGTACCCTGACCAAGTATCAAACTATGACCTCCTGGTTCATAGGTCAACATTCAACCACCAAGCCTCAACAGCCTGGCTGTGTTGATTTTTTTTGACGGCCAAATATGTCTTAGCATTTTAAGGTAAATTTTGATGTGCCTCCTTCCATTTTTTATCATTATTCTCTCCTTATATGAAGATAATATTCCAGTCCCACTGTAGGAGCATGCTGCAGGTTCTGTGCAGGAATACTTTGAGTTGTCTCTCTCCCCTGAACTAGAAAGCCATTAATATGCTTATAGGGTCGGCTAGCCTAGGTTCAAAGGGTGGCTCTGCCACCAGTTAGCCTTGGTTCTCCAAATAAGCACATTAGAATCTAGTTTTTTGACATTGGAAGCTTACTAAAAGCATTAATGTCTAAGGATTAAATGAGTTAGCATTTACAAAGCATTTAACCTGCTAACTAGTACATGGGAGGCATTTAATAGTAGTAAGTGTGGATGAGAATGATGTGGGTGGTAGACAGGGGCAGTAAAGCCAGCTGCTCTTAAGTGATGATTTTGAAATGTGGCACAACCAACCAAAAAACTCACAAATGCAAGGGCAGGCTGGGGACTTTCTAAACATCAAGACATATGGCACACAGATCAAAGAAACCCAATCAGTTAGACTATAGTGTCCCCAAATACAGATTTCAGGGAAAAGCTTCCTACCGTTTTCTCTAGGCACTCATGAGAGCTCATTGCAGTTCATGCATCTTTCCCATTCTTAAAGGAAACCAGTATGTGTAAAGTCTGATGTTTTCCCTGAATGCAGCAGTTTTACTTACAAAGTATGAAGATGTGGTCCTTCCTGCCCTGTTTGCCAGGAAGGGCCTCAGGAGCTGGTGAAGTGTTTTCTTCAGGGATGGGTGGTATATATAAGCACCGTGACCCAGGCTGCCTGAAATCTCTTAATCAGAAAACTCCTGGGAAATAGTAGAACTATTCTAATGCAGGGATCTCTATTAGCAAAGCTTGGGAACAAGGGTAGCTTTCCTTTAATGTTTTTCTTTTCCTGTTCACAGTATCCCATTCTCTTCTTTTTGCCGTGTGTGTGTGTGTGTGTGTGTGTGTGTGTGCATCTTCATATATTGCCTGAGAATGCTGCTTAAGATTTTCTTTTTTTGATTGGCAAAAATCTTCATGTAGAGGATTATTTTTAAAAAATTGAAAAACTTTAAAGTACATTAAAATTAATAGGTAGTATCAAGTTTAGATATAGAAATAATCTTAATGAAAATGTGTAAATATCCCCCTACTTAATTTTTATTGTTGTTGTTTAAGACTTTATTTTTTAGAGCAGTTTTAAGTTCACAGCAAAATTAAAAAGAAAAAACAAGGAATGCCCAAATATACCTTGCCCCCACACATACATAGCTTTCCCCATTAGCACCATCCCCCCACCACCAGATGGTACATTTGTTACAACTGATTAACCTATTTGGATACATCATTATCACTCAAAGTCCACAGGTCACCTGAGAGCTCCCTTTTCTTAAATTCTGACTCTTAAACCACCCCTGAGTTTCTTGCACTGAAACTACTGAGCCAATATAAATAACTATTTTTGGAAAGATATATTTATTTAAATGCCTCTATCCTCCCTCTGGGAATTCTTTTCTATAACCAGACCACCAGGAACATATGAATAGACAGCTCCCAGTACAAAGTCTTATATCCATTGCTATCACAACATCTATTTGGATCTCAGTTCTTTTTTAAGGTGGAAGAACTAAGACTAAGATTAGAAAATGGAGGGTCAGAGGAATCATGTTCTCACATTCACCCAATGAGTCAATAGCAGATTTAGGAACTGAATTTTCTCCTTTCTGACTCCAAATGCCATGTTTTCTACCAGTCCTTACTTTAAAAGAACTCAATTTTTTAAAAATTGTGGAATGAATGAATATGAGTTCATGACTGTATTCTATATTTGTGTAAACTTTTAAACATAGCAGCAATTATTTTTAAGTTAACATAATAAATGAATCAGTTGAATATCTACTACTGAGTTAACCAATTTCTGAGCTGTTGGTTTTATAAACTATCTGAATATCATACAGTCCCTGATGCATTCAGAAAATATTTCAATACACTAAACACTGACATCGTGCAAAGAAAAATTATTGGGTGTGGAAGAGGAAGTTATTCAATCCTATCCTGTGCTTTTTGAAAAGTCATCCCAGGAAGCAGCAGTGTTTATTTATTTATTTACTTACTTATTTACTTACTCATTTGTTTTTTAATAAATTTGATGTATAACACTGTGTATATTTAAGATGTAGTGTGTGTTGCTTTGCTACATTTATATATTATAATATGATTTCTAATGTACCAATAGTTATTACATTAATAATTATAGCATAGTATTATTGTCTATATCCATTATACTGTGTAGTAGATCTCTATTACTTTTTTACTACTCATTATAAGTTTGTTCCCTTAAACACCATCACTCTTTTCCACCACCTACTCTCCGGTAATCACCATTTTACACTGTTTTTTAAATGTTTAGCTTTTTTAGATTCTACATATAAGTGAGATCATACAGTCTTGTCTAACTCTCATTTATCTTACTTAGCATAGTGTTAAGATCCACTCATGTGGTCACAAATGGGAGAATAATTCCTTTTTCATGGGTTAACAATATTCTATTGTGTATATATACCGGATTTTTTTATCCATTCAACCATTGATGGGTATTTGGGTCATCTTCATATCTTGGTTTTTGTGAATAATACTGCAATGAACATGAGAGTGTATATATCTCTTTCAAATCTTGTTTTCATTTCCTTTGGGTGGAAATGCTGGATTATATAGAAGTGGAATTGCTGGATTATATAGTAGATTTATTTTCAATTTTTCAAGGAAACTCATTGCTTCCTATAGTAGTTGGACCAATTTATACTCCCACCATCAATATAAGGGTTTCCTTTTCACCACATCCTTGCCAGAAGATACTTGAGCAGATAGTCTTGAGCATACAGTCTTTTAAATTGAGAGAGAAGAGAAAGAGATTATCTCAATCTCACAACCTTAAAAAATAAAAATAAAAAGTCTTTCTGTTCTAAGGTCAGGGAAACAGTCCCTACCCAATCTTGTCCTCTTAAACCATCTCCAAAAATGTTCTCTTTTGCAGGAGAATTCATGAGGAGTTCTCAGGAAGACAGAGCAACCAGATTTAAGAAAGAAAACCTTTATGAAGAGTCCAGAAGCTGCCTGGTGAGAGACATTTACCCAGCAGGAACACAAATTCCTAGGAAAGAACTCTAAATAGCTGTGTCCTGCTAACCTTTGTGCCCCAAATGACAGAGTATGAAGGGCAATTTTTTTTCAGTCTACTTCCCCAAAGGAGAGTCCTAGAGATGAATTTCAATTCCACTTCTTATTCAATAGCAATTTGACCCTGAACAGCTGCAAGTCAAAGCTTTAATAGGGCAAAAGTAAGGGACAAGTGGTATTAATGAATTTCCCATGTGTTTGCTCACCAGTGGTTTGCCAGTATCACAGCAATCATAAGACATAGAACCAGGTAGGAATGGATTTGCTCAGTTTTTCTTTTATGATTGTGAATGTGTTCTAAAACTTTTTGTGGTGACAGTTGCACAACTCTGTGAATATAATAAAAACCATTCAATTTTGCACATTTAATTGATGAATTGTGTTGTGTGTGAATTCTATCACAATAACAATACTGTTAAAACAAAAACAAAGATGAATTCAAGATTATAAGTCAAGTGGAGAGAGCACACATGCCCAAACTACTGTCACCCTAGAATGGGGAGAATTTGAGTTGAAAGAAAGATTAAATTAGTAGTGTCTCTGGATAACAGTATAATTAGTGATCTATAAATTTTGGAAAATTCATGAAAAATAGAACAAATGATGAAATAACATTGATAGATGAAACTACAGCCGAAATTTTATACAGGAGAATACTGAAGGGAAAGTGGAAGCTATTAAAAAGGGACATTCCAAGTGTTGAAATAGAACTCCATTTAAAAATATGTGGAATACAATGAACAAAATATGAGGAATCTAATTTAATGAACAATATAAACTGATGAACAAAGTAGAAACAGAGGCATGGATACATGGAACAGACTGAGAGCTGTCAGAGGTGGGTTGAGTGGCTGGATGAAAGAAGGTAAAGGCATTAGTAAATTACCAGTTCATCACAATAGACTGGAAGCAAATAGAAACATGCTTTTTCAAGGTACGGTTGTAAGTCATACTGGTAGATGATAAAATATGAGTTGGAGAGGACTTTGTAAAGATATGGTAATCTAAAAATTTCCTAAATTAGCTTAGAAAGAAATATTTTGAGCACAGCCTTACGAATTTGCTTGGTCTTTACACTGTAGATTATGGGATTCATTACAGGAGGGATAAGTAGATAGACATTGGCAATGAGAGTGTGCACAAGGGGAGGGGTGTGCTTCCCAAATCTATGCACCAGTGACAGGCTGATCATGGGGATGTAGAAAATGGCAACAGCACTTATGTGTGAGACACAGGTTCCAAAGGCCTTTTTCCTTTCCTCTGGGGAGGCAATGCTGAGCACAGAGTGGATGATCAGAACATAGGAGAGGAGGATCAAGACAGAGTCCACGCCGGCATTAGAGATAACAATGGACAGGCCAAATGCACTGTTGATCTTGGTGTCTGTGCATGAAAGCTTCATCACATCTGGGTAGAAACAATATGAATGGTGCAGAACATGACTACGGCAGAAGGACAGACGCTTAAGGAGCAGAAGTAAAGGCACTAGAGCTGTTGTTCCCCTAATAACTACTGCAAAGCCCACTTTGATGATCCTTGAATTGGTTAAGATTGTGGCATATCTCAGTGGGTTACAGATGGCAATGAAGCGGTCAAAGGCCATCGCCAGGAGTACTGAGGACTCCATGAACGTGAAACCATGGATAAAGAACATTTGGCCAACGCAGGCATCAAAGCTGATTTCTCGAGCATTAAACCAGAAAATACCCAGTATGGTGACCACTGTGGAAAGGCACAGTCCTAGGTCCGTGCAGGATAGCATAGAGAGGAAATAGTACATGGGTTCATGAAGACTTGGCTCAGTGATGATGACAAACAAGATCATTCCATTCCCAGTGATGGCAACGGCATAGAGACAACAGAATGGGATAGAGATCCAGGCATGGTAAGTTTCAAAACCAGGGATGCCCGTAAGGAAGAAAACTGCAGGGTGGAAGATGCTCTGATTGAAGGATGGCATGATGAGTGAAGGAAGTAGCTTTCCCTAGGGAAAGAAAAGCATATCCTGTAAAAATAGGGAAGAAAATCATTTTCATTCTCTTCTATATATTGAATAAAGTACGTTCACTATGAACCTTGTCCTGTTCTTCAGCAGAAGTGAAGTGCATACCCAGTTATTTTTTTCTTAGATTTAGAGTTAATCTAGGGAAAGAGACAGACCACTAAACTGTATGACAACACCTGGGTTTTAGCAAGATTCCCACATGTTATATCTAGGCTTCAGTATATTTC